TAAGGAGCTATTCAGGGCATTTGATACCAGTGTCTGGAGAAACCGCTGTTTATGTTAAGTACGGTTCTCAAGAACTTGACCTACCCATTATACTCACTAAAGGGAAAGGTGTTCCTCTCATGGGAAGGGATTGGTTGTCCAAGACTAGGTTGAACTGGCACGGCATGAATGCTGCTCGACAGGCTAACCAAGTTAGAAGATATAGTTCAACAGTACCCCAAGTTGTTTTATGGTAAATTATGTACCATTACTGGATTCACAGCGAAGCTCAAAGTGAAAGAGAATGCTACACCTCAGTATTTGAAGTCTCGTCCAGTGCCTTATGCACTCAGGGAGAAAGAAGAATGGATGAGCTGAAGCGCCTGGTGAATGAAGGGCTGTTAAAAAAGGTTGAAAGTTCGGATTGGGCCACACCTATTGTTTCCGTTCTTAAACCAGATGGAACAGTGAGAATTTGTGGTGATTTCAAACTCACCATTAACCCTTACTTAGATGTCTCGAAGTACCCTTATGCCTACCCCTGAGGAATTATTCACGAAGTTGAATGGAGGTGAATTATTTACTAAGCTGGACCTCAGCCATGCCTATTAGCAAGTGGTCCTGGATGAGAAGTCCCAGCCCTATGTTACCATCAATACCCACTTAGGTTTATATCGGTACACTAGACTACCATTTGGAGTGGCAGCTGCGCCTGCAATATTCCAGCAGATCATTGACAAAATGTTAGATGGCCTGACTCAAACTGGTGGAATATTGGATGATTTAATCGTCACTGGTCAAAGTGATGAGCAGCATATCAAGAACTTGCATCATACTCTCAAGAAATTTGAAGAATGTGGAGCAAAGTTCAAAGTTTCTAAGTGTGCTATTATGCAACCTAAACTGGAATATTTTGCTTTCGTATTAGACCGTGAAGGTATACATCTTTCCCAAGCCGAGGTTCAAGCAGTTCGTTAAGTTTTTGAACCCGAAAACAGAACGGAATTACAATCATTTTTGGGTTTGATGAACTACTATCGCAAATTTATTCCAAACATGTCACCATTGATCAGTCCTTTGAACCAGTTACTATCGAAGGACACGCACTGGTGTTGGAGTAAGGAGTGTCAAGTGTCATTTCAAGCTCTTAAAGATACTCTAGCTTCGTCAAACGTGTTAGTTCCTTACAATCCCAAGCTTGGAGTTCAGTTAGCCGTGGACGCTTCACCAGTAGGCCTGGGAGCGGTAATTTCACACATCACTGCTAATGGAACTGAGCGTCCTATTGCTTACGCTTCACGATCGTTAACCAAATCTGAACGAAATTATTCCGTAATTGAGAAGGAAGCCCTAGCCATCAATTTCGGTATTCGCAAATTTCAGCAATTTCTGTATGGCTGCAGATTTACTCTTCTTACAGATCATCAACCCCTAACCTTATTTTTTGGTTCCAAGAAGGCGATACCAGTTGTAGCAGCATCACGTATTCATAGATCGGCAATTCAGCTTTCAGCTTACCAGTTTGACATCAGGTACCATAGATCTAAGCAGGATACGAATGCAGACGCATTATCCAGACTTCCGTGTAAAGGAACAGACGTTGGCTTACACCTTGACGAGGAATCCGAAGACGTCAACAGGATTCAAGATGCTAGAGTGCCAATCAATGCTAAACGACTTCGGGAAGATGCAGCCCGAGATCCTGTGCTATCGAGAGTCATTCATTTTACACTTTGTGGATGGCCGGACAAGTCTGAAGTTCCAGACAATTTGAAAAGCTACTTTGCTAAACGAAATGACTTTACGATGGAGGACGGATGTCTTTTGAGAGGAACGAGAGTTGTGATTCCAGCGAAGCATCAGGAGACTGCGTTAGCAGAGTTACATCTGAGTCACCCCGGAATTGTGAGAATGAAAGCCTTAGCTAGACTTCATGTTTGGTGGCCTGCGTTAGACTCAGATATTGAGCAGTTAGTTGGAGAGTGTGAGACCTGTCAAATTACTCACAGTAAAGCACCACTAACCTCCGACAATCCCTGGATGTGGCCACACCGACCTTGGCAGCGAGTTCATGTTGATTATTGTGGTCCATTTCTTGGTGGATTCTTTCTGGTTGTTGTAGACGCGAAGTCAAAATGGCTAGAAGTGATACCTATGTCAAGTACAACAGCTCAAGCAACAGCGGACGCATTGCGGTCACTCTTTGCTATTCATGGTTTACCGAAAGAGATTATTTCGGATAATGGCCCTCAATTTGTTGCACAAGAGTTTAAAGATTTCATAAGACACAACCACGTGAAACAGATCCTCAGTGCGCCATACCATCCAGCATCTAATGGCAAAGCGGAGGGAGCAGTGAACATTTAAGCAAGCAATGAAAGCAGCCAAAAGTGAGCCTGGTACCATGTCACGGAAGATTTGTTTATTCTTATTAAGCTATCGCACTACACCGCACGCGGCAACAAGATGTACGCCCGCTGAATTGCTGATGAATCGAAGACTACGGAAACGCCTAGATCTTTTACGTTCAGATCTCCGAAAGAAGGTATCTAAACCCTCCAAGTTACAACCTACTGCTCCCTAGAGACAGCTTAGTTTAGGAGATCCAGTCTTGGTACAAGACTACAGGAAGAGCCAAGATCCTTGGGTCAAGGTCTATGCACTGGCTCCCAGTTAGCCAGCGCATAGATTACAAGATACTACTTCTGACCTACAAAGCGCTCAACGGCCAGGCCCCTAGTTACATCACTGAACTGTTGAAGCCTTATGTAACGACCAGAAATCTGAGGTCCTCCTCTAAAAATTTACTTAAAGTACCATCTGTTAAGCTAGCAAGTTATGGTCATAGGTGTTTCTCTTTTGTAGCACCGACTCTATGGAACTCTCTTCCAAACAACATAAGAGTGAGCGGCTCGCTATCACATTTTAAGACCTGTATAAAGACATACCTTTTTAACAAATTTTATAATTAGACTACTCCTTACTGAGCTATTTAATTATATAAGTAGTAAGTTAGGCCGCTAGATAGTTAGCTAGTAAATTAGTTGATTAGTTGGTGAGCTAGTTAATTGGCTAGGAAATTAGTTAATTTCAATATAAGTTTCAAGTTTTTACTCTCATTATTACAGACTACCTTATTAGCTAGTTTCTTTTACTCATGTTTTAGAGATTTTTATGGTTTTTT